TGTGAGGGCAGAGCAAACATCATCAAGTTGCGCCCGTGTCTGCCAAGGCTCAGCTGGTGCTCAAAGTCAAACCAGAAAGCACTGAATCGGAAATTCCAACGCTAGTTACCCCAAAGCCCAAATCCAAAAGCTATGCTTTCGCACCTCCGGGGAGGGCATCCAGCAGCGCGAAGCTCAGAAGTCCACTCGGCTCAACATCTGATTTCTGGCTTGCATATCCAGATATAAGTATTTGTCTAGAGCTGAAGCACATATTATACATATAGTATGTGTACAATATACACATGTATACATACATATATATATATATATATATATAAATGTATTAAATAAATAAGTAAGTACATATATATGTGTACATATATATGTATACATATATGCTATACGTATATATTATACGCATATGTATGTATGTGTGCATGCATGTATATATGTACACATATCATCGGTGCGTCTGCATACACACTCGTAGATATGTGTGTAGGTTTTGTTTTTATATATCCAACTATATATATATATACATATACACACATACATGTGCATGTACACGCAAAATGGAAGCAGCCACAAAAGCTTCCGGCTGTCACGAACAATGGCCAGCAAAAGCACTAGTAAAACTGCCGGGTCTTTCAAGAATGGCGTCCAAAACGGTACAACGAGCAAACTCCTCAGGCCCTCCGTTCACCTGCCGCCGGCCTTTTCCTCTTCGGGCAGGCGTCTCTGTCAAGGTCAATATGCTTCAGGCATGGGCTTCATTGACAGGGAGATCCTGCAAACCAGGGGATGCTGCTTCCGACGAATCAATCAGCGACGTAGGACGCGGCTTCATGTATCAATGATGCAGGGGACGAACCTAAACCCGTCTCTGGGCTATTCCTGGTGCCACAGCGAGGCTTTCAGGTGCAACCACAAGTAGCAGCAGCTACAGCAGCCCACTTGGTTTCGGCCTCTTCGTGCCGGGGTCCACCTGGACCACTCTGACTTGGACCTCCTGTCCCTCCTGAGGAGCAAGGAAGGCATTCCCAGGCTGTTCTTCTGCAGAACTCTTTGTACGGCGATTGGCAGGACTGCCGGTGTTGCTGCATTCCGAATGTGCTAGCCCCGATCTCCAAGGCCTGAGGCCGCGAAGGTTCAGAAAGCAACTGGCGACAAGTGCCGTCATGCACGTTTCCACCGTGTTATCATGTATCCGACTGTAGCCTTCACTTCAGACTTCTTCCTGAGGCCCTCCAGAAGCTCTGAGGTTGCTGCATCAACTTCAGCCGCTGGGTCCCCAACCCGTCCATCCTTTCAGTATGCAGCTCTTCAGAAAGACGTGGCGGACCGAGAACGGCGGGCAACTCTCATTGTGTCCAGTAGCTCAGCATCTCTTTGCCGCCACGGTGCTCGCATTTCCGAAATGTGGACGAGGCCCATGCCCTGCCAGTGGGAGCAGGCTGAGCGTTAGCACATAAATGGGAGTTTCCGAAAACAGGGGATCCTAATATAGTACCCTAAATAATAGGATCCTTGTTATAAGGACCCCAATATAAGGCACCCCTATTTTTGGGCCCTCTGAAGCACAGCCGCTGCCTCTCCCGACTTGTCCGGGTAGGGGATCTGCAGGCGCATGCGAGCTGGAACAGTAGGCTTTGGTGATGCCCCGGCTTACGAGGCGTTCTAGCATCCAGCTCCGCCTTCACGAACACTCCAAACGGAGCTGCGTGGTCCACCCTGAATCAAAGAGCTACAGCTGCTCTACACTTACTTACTTGCGAGCGAGCTTCCAATGTTGCAGCACGCACTGCACTGAGCTGCGAACGTGCCAGTGAACCACGTGTCTGGCGAGACGTCAAGAAGTGATGACACGTCCTTCGCTCCGACCAATCTGCATGGAAGCCATTGAAAGAACAAGAAACCGTACATCATATACATATATACTACTAATAATAGTAATGATAATGATAACCATAACAAATACATATGTACATATACATATATATATATATATGTATACATATATATATATATATATATACATATACATATACATATATACATATATACATATATACATATATACATATATACATATATACATATATACATATATACACATATACACATATACACGTATACACATATACATATACGTATATATATATATATATACATATATATATATATGTTCACCCCGCCCCCAAGATCTACACTTTCGTGGTTCTTGGGGCATGGGGAGCACGAAACACTGCTATGCTCAAAATTCCAAAATTTGAAACCCTGAAAATCACGAAACACTGTAATGCTCAAAAAATTCAAAAATTCCAAAATTCTGGGACCTATGGCCAGGACGGGGGCAGATTCCTTAAAAGTTTGGAATTTTTTGAGCATAGCATTGTTTCGTGAGCTTTGAGGCAATGAAAAGTTGATTTTTTTAGCATTACAGTGTTTTGTGAGTTTTAAACCACGAAACACTGCTATGCTCAAAAAATTCCAACAATTCCAAAATCTATGGCCACGACAGGGGCAATTTCTTTAAAAGTTCGGATTTTTTTGAGCATAGCAGTGTTTCGTGAGATTTGAAACAATGAAAAGTTGATTTTTTTTGAGCATTACAATGTTTTGTGAGTTGTAAACCACGAAACACTGCTATGCTCAAATTTTGTGAGGTTTGAGGCTGTGAAAAGTTTTTTTTTTGATCATTACAGTGTTTCGTGGTTTAAAACTCACAAAACACTGTAATGCTAAAAAAATCAACTTTTCCAAGCCTTGAAACGCACGAAACACTGCTATGCTCAACAAATTCCAAAGTTTTAAAGAATTTGCCACCGGCCTGGCCATAGATGCCAGAATTTTGGAATTTTTGAAAATTTTTGAGCATTACAGTGTTTTCTGATGTCCAGGACAGGATATACTGCATCACAGGATAATTGGGTGCTTTCAACCGTTGTCAAGGACTGGAAGTACTGTATATGTGCCTTCTGGAACAGCAACGGGTTTCATTACTCTTGTTTGGTAAGTATGAACAGTCCTGCTTCATGTTTGGAAGGTTGCAAGAGCTCTCTTACTTTTTGCTGCAGACGAGCCGTCTTGTGCGCCCGCATATGCGCATGAAACTTTCAACTCCAGGGGAGCTTTCCCATTTCTTATGAGGCAAAGAACAACTATTGGAGTATTGCCTCAAAAATAAACGCGCCCGTATATCTTCCTTCATGTATAATAATGGACAGGACATGAAAGGAGCTCTCTGTATTTCGTATCTCATAAATCAAACGCTAGAGCGATTAGGCCGCATCAGAATCGGACGCTTCACGAGCAGCGGGAAAGAGATGGCCCACGCACCAAGACGTCTTCGTAAGAGAGACAATAGTGTTTTTATTATTAGAGGAATGTGGTTAAATAACACACCATAAAATGCAAATAACACGAGGTTTTTTAGTATTACATGAACAAAACTAGCACGCCCTCCAGCATTTCAGCTTCTCCAACACATAAACTACCATAAATCCGCGGCCGAGATTCGGCGCCAGATTTTTTCACATATCAAACCCGCGCCTTGCAGCAGCACGGTTTGCATGCACATGAGGTAAAGCACGATTGTATCGGTATTTACGGTGTTTTCGGTATATATGAGTAGTCGACCAATGTAGAGAAGCAACCTGTGGAATCGTGTGGAAGAGGCGGGTGTAGATCTTGGGGGGGGTGACCATCCATATATATATATATATATATGTATATATATATATATATATATCCTATGTGTTTGTTGATCTCCCAGCTCATTACAAGCAGCCCCCCGCCACCATGCGCTCCTGATCTTCCAAGCGAAGCCTGGCGAAGACCTTCCGCATCGAAAGCTTTAGCCTGCCGTGCCACTGGGCGTATATGTATATGTATTGGCTTACTAAAACAGGGACAGGGGAGCTAATAATTCGTGTTGGGTTTTGGGGTATTGTTCCATATGGCTAGTAACGAATCGCATTGGCAATTATTGAGGCCTCTACAGTAGCAGGGCGCAGGTCGTGGCATGGCAGCTTTGCTCGTGGAACCCTGCGAGGGTTTAGGGTTAGGCTTCGTGATGCATCGTGTTCCGAAGCTGGCTCCAAGAGGCTTCTGAAACTTGGGCCCCAAACCTTGAAATATCAGCACTACATCCCCTAACCCTGACCTACAACCCTAAACCCCGAAAGGTCCACAAGCCTAATTAATATAAGGGGCCTAAATAACTTGGGGGGCTCCCTATTACAACTCTAGTACAATGGGCCTCAAAACCCTATTCTAATGATTCTAAGTATTAAGGTCCTTATGTTACGCATGAAGCCGTAGCTTTTGAACCTGCGAAAGTCAGCCCGGGCCTCGAAGTGGCATCGGTGACTCGTGCCTGAACTGTCTGTCCCACCTGCAAGTGTTGCTCTCCGCTTTCCGCTTTCGGCTTCTCCCTTTGGGGCTCTAGGGCATGCTACTCGGGGATCATATTCGTGTCTGTAGGGCTCATATACCCAATTAGGGCTCAATTTCTTTGCCAGATTGAACATGTGCAGGCTATCTTACATGTGTGTGTGTGTGTGTGGAGCATGCATGTCCCTGAGACGCAGGAGGAACGTCGCAAGAGCAAGGACGAGCCCAAACACACCAGCTTTTGCGAGCACATCAAGCAGTGCCCTGCAGAAGACTGCGCAAAATGCTAGAAAGATCACTCACGAAGAAGTAGAGCTCGTGGTCCAGGCTGCGAAAGAGCAGCCCTTTTCACTAAATGACCGCCGGCCTCCAGCCAGTGGGCGGTTGGAACACGAAGCTCGTTATAGTCAAAACTCTTCGCCCGCGACTGTCTATCAGACTGCGAGACTGATGTTCCGAGACAGCGCGCAATCTACCACAACAGTAGACTAGAGCAGCTGCGGGGCAAGACACCACGTGCACATGCTACTCCCACAGCAGCATGTGCGCGAGTGCGCCAGGCAGTAGCGAGCAAACTAAAGCTGCACGGGCTTTAGCACGTGCCGTTCTGCGGGAAAGCCAAACTACACTTCCGACGCAAGCACAGAGGGGACGATGAAGTAAAAGCAAGGGGCTGTACCAAATGTGTACATACAAACCACTAGCTTGTAGGCAAAACAATGGGCTTTCACGCTTTCGCCAGTAGCGAGCATGTACAAAATTGTGATGACGAACAGAAAGTTCCAAAAACTGCATGCCAGAGCTGGGATTGCTTGCTGGGCCCAAAGAGCTTCCAGCATCCGATAAAACCCTGCCGGTGATAGCACGGCAACTAAGACAAACAACATGGCTCGAAATCGGTGGGCTCCCAGCAAAACTGGAAGTGTCCGACGGCCCACCTGGGCATCGCCCTTCAGATCCCGTAGGTCTGCAAGCAGAAAGAGGATCGAGTAGTAGGCGGCGAAAGTGGCAGCCCAATCCCAGAGCGCTTTGTTATCAGCAGCTGCTCCAAGTGCCAAACGCATGGAGACAAAGAAGTGGATCATGAAGATCATGGGCATGAAGACGAACCCACGAAAGATGAAGTTCTTGTCCCAGCCAACGGCATATCCAAACGTTGCTGACAAGCAAAGCACACACGGGATCGCCAGATCGTAAAGGTACGATGCAGCTAGACACGCGATGGCCGCAGCACCACAGCGCATCTTGCACCCCCAGACCTGAGCTTTAAGAGCACCAGAATCATTCCTATTAACCCTCTGTATCCTGCCATGTATCATATCAATCCGCAGGGTACGTGCAATACATGCCCGGCGACCCTACAATATCTCATAGCCCAGCAGCGGTCATCAAGCCCTGCGGGATGGGCCGCCAAGGCTTGTTGATCATGTCCTCTTCAACACCGCTCCACTGGTTCACGAGGTCAAACACCGTCAGGTAGAGGAGGCCCATCACGGCGGCAGCGATCGCACCGCCGCAGGTAGCTCCCGTGGTCGCAGCGGCTGTGGCGAGGTACATGACCACGATAGGCGTCGCGCCGGCATTGAGGTTATCCTTGAGGAGGTAGACAAGCAGGTTGAACTCCTCCCACAAGCTGTCGAGGACCCCTTTCTCTGGAAGCTTAAACTTTGGCTTAGCCTCGATCCCTGCAACCGGGCTTGGCGAACCCGATCCCAGGTCTGAATCTCCGTCGGAGTGATAAGAAGCCACACTTCGGGGACTCGCCGTAGATACCTCTGAATGCGATGGGGAAGCATCCACCTTCATGGCCGACATTGATATCGTCTCGAAGTGCTCACGGAGCGGAGCTGCTGCTTTCCACTGTGCGCTGTCGCCACCGCTGAGCCAAACTTGAGGTATTCAAAGTGTCGCTGCTGAAGTGCTGTTGTTGCTGTTACCTTCTGCTGATACTTTCTCAGTTGGTGCCGCCTGAGCATCCTCCGCACACCACCCCGCCTCCAGGACATCAGCCGGGTGCTCCACGAAGCCCTCCTGCACTCCCGCCACACATGACCCCGCATTGGCCTGTATCCTTTAAGGGGCCTCCAGCTCACACAGAAGCACCTGAGAGTTTAGAGGGCTAAAGGACGGCGGAATATAGGGCCCTCCAGTCATAGGGGGTTCTTTGGGCTTCATGCTGTCTTCTAACACCTCAAGATCCAAAGTTGCAGCTTTTTCATTTCAGACGCTTCCTCTCACAACCACTGTGCTGTTCTCTGGCGCCTGGATCTGGCTAATGGGGATGAAGCCGTCCACCAACTCACCGCCACCAGGGGGCTGGACCTGATTGGGACTTTCAGAGGCTCCGGTGGAGCTCGCCACTGTTGTGGCGAAGTGAGCTTGCAGCATACATGCACAAATTGCAAAGCCGCATGCACCCTCATAACAGACCACCAAATTATCCGGAAGCTCAGCGCTCTGCTCGCACGTAGGCGCCGGCATTGCTCAGGCCCTAGGTGAATCAAAAGCGTACCGCTGAGCTCGACACTCCAACCTTCATGCCGCAAGGCAAGAAAAACTCAAGAAACAGCCCATAGAGATCCAGATTGCAGCAACGCTTTTGGACGACCCTAATGGCTAATCCCAGGCCATGACTCCTGCAACCCCTTGCTGCGATGCTCTCGGCCCCGGCAACTCGCACACAGAGCCCCACCGGGGCGTGGAAGACCCCCCCACTCTGCTTGGCCGGCTGCGGTGATCTCTGCCTCGAACCACTCGTCTGCGCTCACCTCGGGTCTCGCTCAGGTTGCGGGCTGTGACTGCTCTGATTCATCATGGCTCCATCGTAGGGATGGTTGTTGTTGTTGTTGCGTAGACGCCCCAGCCTCCTTGAAAGGCATGAGGCTCTCGTCCTCGGCGTTCTCGTCAACCTCAGGCCACTTTTGTCAGCACAATGGTACTGCTTCGTGATATTCATAGTCGCAGCAGTCCTCACCGCCGTGAGCTGGGACTACTTAGAATCTGACTTAGAAACCTGAGGATGGACTAGCATTCGATATGGTAACACTTGAAACTAACCTAGGCCTGGAGGTTTTGGAGTCAGATCTCAGGCTGGAGCCATGGTGAGGTCAAGGCGACCTGGAGAGCAAGCGCCTAGCCTACTGCCGCCACTGCTACGACAACGACTACAAGTACGACGGCTACTAATTGCTGCATAAACAGTGATAGTAATACAAACAAAAACAAACATGATAGCACTAGATCGCACTAATCATACACATGACCATAACAACAAAAATAATCATAAGACTACCTACTAGTGGCCAGAAGGAGGGCGAGAGGTCGCACACACATGCATTCCATGAAAGGCAAGCATGATTCAGCCTCTCGGCTACCCTTACACCTTTCCCCCCCGCCCCCCAACCCTAAACCCTAAACCCCCTCCCCCCCACCCCGAATCCTGAAGTTAGACAGAGCATGCAGCTCGCACCAGGGCCTTGAGGGGATACGGCTCGGACCCAGACCTGCCCCAAAGAGGCAGTCTCACAGGGCTTACTTGGAGCTTCATAGGTAGCTATAAGTGGGTGTATAAGTCCCTTACTTGCAGTAACCCTCAACTCCAAGCAACCTAAGTGCTGAAGTCTAAACCCGGAGCCCTGAACCACAAGAGCTACAGTAGTGCATATTCGCCCGGAGGATGTCTCATCGGGCAAGCCCAAAAACCCTAAACCCTATAGATCCCTTCAAGGATCCCTTTAAGGAACCCAGATCAGCTCAAGGGGAGGGGCCCAAGGGCGAATGGGAGGCTCGTATCCACGGCCTTGACGGACTGGCCAGTCTGCACGACCTGGGCCACGGGCCAGAATCACAAAAAATTAGGGGTACCTTTACAGGGATCCATAAGGGCTCCTTAAAGGGATCTATAAGGGTTCTATAAAGGGTTTGGGGTTTGGGAGTTTCCGAAAATTAGGGGTACCTACCCTTTACGGTACTGTATTAGGGTCCCTTATTTTCAGAAACCATATAGAAGCCGCATGGGTTGGAGTGCGGTTTTAGGGATTTTGAGGGTGTAGCATTGTGCTATACTCTTCTACAGTATCCTCATCTCGTTGTTTAGGCCCCCCTCATGCGTTGGGCATGGCTGCCCGTCTCATACTGAAAGCCAAGTTGCCTCTGAAAGCACAGGGACATAGCTCTTCGAGACCTTCGACCGATGAACGAGCCTTGGGCGTGGGCATTGCAACGCCATAGCCATCCCAAATGGTTGATGATATAAACACAGCATTACATTCAGGAGCCCTAAACTACGGGAATTATGGTATACTATTCCCTTTCTGGGTTTATATCATCAACCGTGTCGTCAGCTTCTTGCAACATGTGAGCCCCCGGAATCACGTCGAGTCCCGGGCCCCTGTCTGTCGGCACCCACATCCACGAAGCATCCCAGCCTGGGTGCTGTCTCTCCTGCTGTAGAACCAGAACAGCTGATCTTTCAGGTTCTTTATTCTTGCACTTGCCATGACACAAGCTATGCACGGGAAGCCACCTAAAGGGCATTCATCTTTTTGATCTGATGCTTCCAAAGCCACATTGACACCGCCACATTAACCACATGGCGCTGTCATGTATCCAGGACCTGCTATTGGCCTGGCATGCGCAGCCCGGTTTACGAGGTTTCGGCTCGTCCACAACTCTCACGACAATGCCCATGAGCTCCTGCCCGACATCCAGGTCCTCCCGTGACAAAAACAGAAAGCCTTGGAGAGTTGCAGCTTCAGCAGTGATCCGTGGCTGGTGTATACCGACAGCTCGCACAAAGTTCTGTTCGTCTCCATGCTTTTGCGAGCATCGCTGCGCATTTTCTGCTACCAGTCGCCGGGCATGTACACACACTCTCATCCCGCTCTCATCATCACTCGCATACATGCTCCTTATACCGCGAGCGTCCGCTGCAGAACAGCTTCCGGCCTGCACCCTCAGCTCGCTGGGAACGTCATCTGACCAGGCCTCCTGAAGGTGATCACAGGATGGCAAACAGTTTGCACATGTAGGAGCTCGGGCTTGCTCACAGCTCCTCGCTGAACAACGGCTCGTTCAAGGTGACCTCTGCGCCAAGCTTCTTCAAACAACATGAGACTGGTGCTATTGCTCCTTCTCTTTCGATCCTTCGCAGAATCATCAAACGCACTCTCATCCTCGACCTTCTCTTCGAATCATCAGGGGCCACGACCTTGGCTCTCAGCGCCACTGCGGCCGCCCGGGCGTCCGCCGTCCGTCTGGGCCAGCTCCCGAAGCTTTGCTGCTGCCCTTTTCTGTTGCGACGTCAGGATTCTGGAAGTGTCAACTCTGTCTGCTGTCTGTCCGGTCCTCGATGTTGTTTGCTGTGGATTAGTGTCTTGCGGGGCAAACTTTGAAGATGCCCTTTCGGGTCATGAGCAGTATTGCGACTGACGGAGTGTGCTTGGTGACGTGTTTGAGATTTAGGCCTGGGAGTTCAGCCTTTTCTTAGCTTCATGTCCGCGTACCTAGAAATCTTCTTCGTATACCAGAAAAGCTTGCTCTCAAGGCTCAGAAGCCGACGTAACGGAGATCATCTCATGCCCCCTGGGCTACGCTACATAATCATGCAGACTAGAAGTCAAAGACTGTCAATCCTGACCACGAGCTTTTTGCTCTGTGAACTTTACCTTCTGGGTTACATCTGGATTTTTTGGGGCCCAAGGCTTGGCATGGCCTCTTCGCAAGGACGCCCGTCAGCAAGGCAGTGGCAGCTGCAGCAAGCACCGGCGGAATCCCTGGATTCAGCGACACATATATATGTGGCTGATGGGCGCGACAGAATCAAGAGACGATTTTACAAACTGAGACTGGGGTCCTGGATTCGTGGCCAGGTAATTGGGCAGCAAATGCCGTGGTCATGCTTTCAGTAAGACAACCTGTAGTATATTGTATAATTGTATAGAATATTAGAGTATACTACAGTATATTGTACTGTCCTGAAGAATCCAGGACCTGACGCATCCCTTCTCTCCGACAAGGTTGGCAGATTCTTCTTCTTCCTCTAATTTCTATATATGATTTTTAGTAATAGTATTGTCATGTATGATTATGACCGCAATTATTATTGTTATTATTCATATGATCATTACTATTATTATTACAAGTAGTTAATGTTATCACGATAATTTACATTATCATGATTAGCATCAGTCCCGTTTTGGCAGGCGCCTCGCTCCGAAGATTCAGGCACGGCAAGCCCCAGGCTCGAGGCCCTGCCGAAGAGATTCTCGCCACGCGCGCACCTCATTCTCAGCATTCATCAAGACGAAAGACTCTTCATATTATACCAACGTTAAAACATATGTGTATGTATATATATATCTACACGCACACACACACACACACACCTAATTATGTATGTGACTTCGTGTTTGGTATCTGCATTGCTTGTTTCTTGCGGTCTTCAAACCATGTGAACAGAGACAAACAGCCGGGGCAACTGGTGATTGGCCTACGTGCATGTTCCTCGCTAAAAGGCTTGAGTTCTGCTCAAGAGGGGGGTTCCATGACTCTGCGGACCCAGTGTCAGCCCTCGACCGCACCTGCTGACGGGGGGCACGGGCGCGGCACCGAGGGCGAAAGCCTCGCAACTTCGAGCGAGGCATTCGGAAGGTATGATGTCTCCTCAACGGCGGCTGTGCCTCGGTATGGAGCGCCATGGCAACCAAAAACGATCTTCTGCAAAGAAGCTGTCTGCTGGCTCAGGGCTGGCTGATGGACTTGGCTTTACGGTTCCAACATTGGGTTTTGCATTCAGACGAAATGGAAGGATGGATGCAGGTGGTTGGCAAAGAGATTCCAACAGAAACGTGCAAGTCGCCTGCAACTGTTAGTTGGGGCTTGCTTGCAGCCAGCCTTAACCAAGGAAGTGCAAACAGGAAGCCAAAAGGCCCGGGTCGCAAACATGATCGAACTTGCTGCGACAAATGCCCAGGCTCGATTGCACAACCTGACCAATGATGTAAGACCCCAAAGTTCGTTCGAATCGGACATCCGAAATCCGGAACTTATAAGAGCTGCACATAGCTGCCGTCCTGAGAAAACGCAGCCAACACCGCGCCCCGTTTCCTTTTTTTCTCGAACGCCTTCTTCTGGCGATGAGTCATGGGCCTAAGGCCGAAATAAATCGATTCCTTTCTCGTTATCTTGTATTAAGGACCCTCTATTATGGAACCCTATTATAGATCCCTTATGATCCTTTAAAGGAGCCCTTTTTAAAGTTGAGCCCTGAAGTTTCATGAGGAGCTCTGAAGGATGCCTTGCTTTGCAGTTATAGCCCCTTTACCTCAGAGATGCGCACCTTGCGAGATCCCTATAAACCGGAAGCTGCCCTATAGGCCCTAAACCCTGAACCCACCCTAAACCTCTAAAGGTCCACACTACAACGCTGCTGTTAGTGGCAAACCTCTAAGGTCCCTAAGCTGGACGATGATCCAAGGCCCGTCTACGACGAGGCCCGGAAGCGACCCACAGTCTTCTCAAAGAGCTTCTGAAGCTCCTCTTCGGGCAGCTTGGCCTTGCAGACGGCAGAAAGGGGGGGGGGTTACCAAGAATGCTACTTTTCATATAGGGGGCCTTCATAATTACCAACTACTATTTTAGGGGCTCCTTATTGTATCTATGGTCTACTGGGCCTTTAAACCCTGTTCTCATGATTAAGGGCCCCTATAGTACACGTTTCTGCAAGGATCACTCATGAGGGCCGCTGCGGGTACTGACGGCTCTGTGGAGCTGGTGAGGTCCCTTTCCCGGCCTCCGCCTCCTGCATGAGCTTGGTCCGGGCTTTTAAGGCATCCAACCTTGCACAGCAATATGGGGGCCTTCATAATTAGAATAGGGCCTGGGGGCCAATGATACTATCATCATAATAAGGAACCCCCAAAATAGTATAGGCCCGTATATTACGCAGCAGCAACTCAGAAGGTCGAGAAGGGCAAATGAACTGCGGATCTCCGGCTGCAGGCCTCTCGGCGGCCATGAGTCCGTCGGCTTCGAACTTTCCTTCGCCACCTGCCAAAGCTGCCCAGGTGGCTTTATTTTTAGTATTTTTGACCCCAAACCCTGTTACATTTAACAAGTCCCCGATTCTCTTGCATGGTGCGCCTTTGCTGGGATCTCCTGTCTTGACAGGATCGAAGGAGGTTCGCTGGCCGTTGACGTGGACCACAAGGACCTTGATGGCCATACCTGGGTCATCTTAGTCTTGCGGTAGTAGCCACGGGCACAGAAAGATCGCAGGCAAGGCGCTGATGTTGGAACCCTCCTTGCTCCAGGCCTGGCGCACATGTGGTCGGACGTTGACTCGACCGGACCATCACGGCTTGCGAAAGGTTGGCTGCAGGCTGCCTTCTCGGAGTCTCCAAAAAAGCCACCGGCACCAAAGGTTCCGTAGCCCAGCACCTGAGCGTTGGCAAAAGACCCATACCAGGCTCTCAAGCTGTGGGATCCGATTTCGGTCTGTACTCTTCTCAGGTGCCGTAGCCACACTTCATGAACACTATTCACTATTCTGTACCATGAGGATAAATGCGGAAATTGGCAGCAGGGGTCATGCAGACGAGGTGCGCTTGCATCAAGCAAGTTCTGGCCTTCCTCTATTTCCTCAGAGGCAAAATGGATTTGGTGTGAGCACCGAGGAAACCGACAAAGCAAGTCGACATCGATCTGCATTGCGAGGCGCAGAAGCCATCAGTCCGCCCTCGAAGCCAAACCCTTTGACGAGATCTCTGAAGCCCTGACAGACAGCAATGCGGGAAACGAACAACTCAATCACAGCTGCTGCGCTTCTTGCCCGAGGCCCTGCTGTCACATCAGTCAGGCCTCCAAGGTGCCGGAGTCCTGTCGCGCCGCGCCGATGACGCTCAGGAAAGGCTCACCCTGCAAGGCACGATCGCTGAGACGGACCAAACACTCGACCTCCTCCTCCCAAAGCCCCGAATTGTGCAACGACTGCGGCCTTCTGGGGGCCCTCCGGAACCTTCAGCTGCGACACGGTCCTGCTTCCAGGACCCGATTCTGCAGCAGACTTTGGGGATTGTGCCAAGCACATACCAAAACTGCAAGTGTCTGCAGCCTGGTGCAGCTCCAGAAAACCCCCTTGAGCCTCAGCCCCGGCCTGAAGAAGCTCTTGGTGCCGAGCGTGTCCGGCAACATGGGCATCAAGGCCTTGCGACCTGCCTCGCGCACGTCGCCTCCTGGCCTGAGCTGTGCTAAGCCGCTTCGGTTGCTTCTTCCCTGCATCGCCATGTAACTTCCGCGGAACTTCACTCGATGTTTCACCTCCCTTCTCAATGCAAAGGTTGAGCTCGGGCCGATTCAGGGTGTTTGGTAGTCGAATCTTGGGATTTGGGCCGCCATCATGCAGCACTACAGCACGGAACTTGGACTCGAAGGCCTTACGAGCCTTGCCACCATACCACTGCGACTAGACCATCAATTGCTCGAGCTGCCTTGAGCAGAGGAAGTACAGCGCATGCCCCACGGCCTGTGACATCGGCAGGCCTCATCAACGATGACTTTCACAATGTGAACACGGAGCGCAAGCAGACTCTAGAACCACAAGCAAGCTTTCGCCGAGTTCCTCTCAAACGTACAGGCAGCACGAGAAGCTCGTAACGAGCAAGATATCGGCTGTCACAAGTCTACGGAATCTTCAGATACACAGAACAGGGCACAGGGTCGCCTGCTGCATCATCAACATCTGACAGCACGGCCGAACAGACCTGAACCAATGCCGAAGCCGCGAGTGCCAAGGTTCGTAAGATTTGAGTTTTGTGCGGCCCAACGTGCCAGGTTCTCAGAGATCACTCGGCAAATCGCAAGTGTTTCGTCGTTCGCAATCTCAGAACCCATGTGCACAGGGGAGCGGCTGCGGCTGCATGCCATTGACTGTGTCAAGGTCATGTTCTCAGGAGTCTGAAGTTACTTTAAGCAACACCTGATGCTCGCACTTATTTCTTACACCACTCCGTGAATTGAACCTCCCTTCCATCCGGCTTTTTGTGTTCTCGACTCTTGTTTGACCGCTGCTGCTGCTGCTGCTCGCCACGAGCATCACCAGCACGCGTTTCACTGAGTTCCACTGCTGTCACCATCGCGACCACCACCAGAACAGTAAGAAGAGCTAGTATTGCGATGACGACTGCGGGAACTGCGACCTGCAACCCCTGCTATGATTGCCACTGCGACCACTGGTCCCCCTACCTCATCCAAAGACGACGACATTTGCTTGTACGATCAACCCCACTCCACAAAGGCCATCACCAGCACAAACTACGACAACGACGACTAACAAGTACAACATGCTGCAATCACTATTCGTGCTTGTTGTCATCCAGACTGCTGCTGCCTCTCTCATTCTGCCAACCACTTGTCACTAGGCGATTGGCCCTTCTGTGAGAAGAACATGCCCTGCTTCGGCGGTAACAAAACGTTTCTTTTTCTGAAAGTTCGTTTTGCACATCTGATTCAACGACATTCCGGACTGCTCTCGGTTCTGCTGAAGCGGATTTGTGCTACAAATATCCTTCGCTACGGTCTCGCATTGTCCAACTGGGGCTGTCACCATGGAGAGCTCGTGCGCATGAGTACCGGCTGCAACGGGCAATATTTCTGGCGGCACCTGTGGACTCACTCACATCTTTAGCAGTAGCAGCGGGTTTCTGCTTTATTTCGGGCCATGACACTAAATTCGACGACAGAGTTCGTACACAATCATGGCGCAACAGCGACCTACCATTCGCAAAAGAGCTGGTGTGACAAAAATGCTGCGATCACACGGTGTTCAGTCAGATTGTGGACTACGAGGGCTGCACTTCTTAGTGTAAGTGCAAAGAGTTTGCCGGCAAATCGTTTTTCTATCGCCTTCTGTGTTGAAGGAAGCAGCTGAATGCATACTACGTACAGTCACCCCGTAAGCATCGGACGCCGGCGTCTTTCAGCCAGTAGTGCGCCGTGACGGAGGAAGTTCCTAGACACAGCGGTTTTCCTGCCAGCACGTGGAGACACAAGATCCGAAGCGCCGTCTTAGTCTAGATAAGCTAACTAGATAGGAATGTACCAGACACTCAGGAGCAGTGGCTGCAAATGGAGAATATGACAACATCATCAAGCTGATGTCGTAGAAATGTGAAAGTACTTGCGTGTCACATCTCGCCCGCCTTCCGCATCACGGAAAGTACTCTGAATGAACCTTCAGCGGAGGGCTAGGAAGAAGAACACTTATGTCATAAGTCACGTCATGTGCTTTGTTGCGCCTGTGTCAAGCGTTTTTTGTTGGTACTCTGGTAGGTAGATTATCCGAGAACAATGTCAGCAAAGAACTGCCAAGTCTTTTCATGACCTTAGTTCGTCGTACCCACCTTCCTAATACATTGCAGGCAAACGACAAGAGTCGATCATCAACACCTGCACCGCCGATCCACATTAAGCAAACAGGAAGCAGGCCTCTGCAATCTTTCCGAAAAATGGGGACCCTAATATAATACCCTAAATAGTAGGTTCCTTGTTATAAGGAGCCCAAAGTAAGGCACCCCTAATTTTCTGAAACATGCCTAGCAAGGACTCTTATCACAAGAGCCGATGCAAAGGCTGACAGGAAACTTCCCTCCGGCTTCGTTAGCAGCCTTCACGTAAGAATCTCGATTGCTGGCGAAGGGAGCGGGGGTTGTATTCAGTCAGCAGGGCGCCGCCCCTTCCTCCTGGTGCCAGGGAGCATCCCCTGCAGCATCATGAGAGCCAGCCCACCAGTCCGTCTTCCTTCCGAGTTCAGCTGCGGGGCTCGGTGCTTGCACTTCGGAAGTTCAGGAACTAGCATAAAAATGCAGGAGGGCATACTGCGGGAACCAGCTGGGCCGTGTTAAGTATTCTGGGGGATGTTTCGACCCTCAGTACGATTGCCATGGCAATGATGATCAGCCTTGAAAAACTGCTCGGACCACTTCTTCACTAGTATTGTTGCTCAATTAATCAGCCTTAGATTCTTGACTAGTGCTGTTACCATGATGACGATGCTTTCTCATGTCTATATCACTATTCCTCGTAATCGCCATTGTAATATTCACACAAATTATGTCATATTATGGTCATTAGCCCTTGTCATTGTTACTGTCAGCATCATGAAGATGCTCATGAGCTTTACCACATCACAGTGCCACTCACAAGTTCATCAAGAAAGGGCCGGGGCAGGCCTGTCATGATTACGCCTCTCATTTTGGAGGCCTTGGCGGCGAGGACGCTCCTGCATGGCCGATTCGCATCTCCCCACCCTTGAGGATTTTGGGCTTGAGGCTTCCAAGATGTAGGGTTGAAGAGCTGGCAGGACTTCTGGAAACGGAGAGCATAGTGACTGCTCTTGGGACGCTCACAAGTACTCCGAGATTGCCTTCTAAGCTCTTGTACTGAATTTCGTTAACTGCTACTACTGCCGCTGCTGCTGCTACTACTCCTCCTCCTACTCCTACTACTACCACTATTAATTAGTACTATTACTGCTATGCTGCTGCTACTATTGCTACCGCTGTGGCTGCTGCTGCTCACGACGACACGAGCACAAGCACGAGAACGAGGCCCCGCTCCCCTGGAAGGCTCGCCTCGCACAGCGAATGAAGGCTTCGGCCAGCCACCGAGCATACCAACTGCTGTCCTCTGAGCCGTACCTCGTGGGAAAGAGGAAGTCACCCAGCTTGAGAAGTTTGGGCTCCCAGTGGGAGGCTCCGGGAAGTCTGTGGCCGCAAGTTCAGCTTAAAAGGAGCCTCTGGGCTTTAACTCTCCGGCTTCCAGGCCTCTCACGCATCCGTAGTCGAAAGAACGTTTCGTAGATCCTGGGCTGGACAAAACAGGCGGCATAAGTCGACACACGGTGTGTAACCTAACGAACACCAACTAGTTGCAGGCTGGGATCACTTGCATCATGCCTCGGCCGCACATCATTTGTCTGTCGAGAAGTCATTGCCGACGCTGCAGTAATGCTTTGAGGACCCCTTCCCGTTGCTACGGCAGAAGTACGTTTCAGACAACTACGGGATCGAACGAAAGATTTCCTTATTGCACGGAGTGATTTTTCGAAACTGGAGCTCGGGGTTGTAAGCCCGAGACTGGTCTCCAGCCACGTAACCCTGTGCCAGGGACCTGACATCAACAGCATCGTGAGATGAATGATATGGATCTGGCCAGTGCCTGTGGCTTCAACGTAGACACGATCACTGCCAGACTTGATGTCATGGCCCACAAATGCCTCACGACGACCATGACATCATGAATCCTGCTGTTTTGCAAACGGAGCTGAACCAGCCTGTAACAGCACGTTGTTGGCATCTGTGGGCAACCGTCGAGCACCTCTCACAGCACAGGCCACTGCGAAAAGCCGGCAGACATCTCATGGCGCATATCTCTACGTCTGCAACTTCGCGCCCTGGATCCCGGCTATGCAGAAAGCAGGCCGTGTAGCACCTTTGGGGTCGACGTCTACCTCCTGCGAGGCTCCATTGCTGGGCATTCTGGGGTCTGGAACTTGGAGTTCAGAGCTTGTGACCCCACCTGTTTCGGTGCCACCTATATCCGGCCATGCTGGATTGAAGCGGAATCCATAGAACGGGCAAGTCCTGCGCCAGTGTTCTAGGACACTCAGCCGTGCCGCAAACGGCCGCGAGTGTCTCGTCATCCTTCGGCGTGGGACATCAGGCGATCAGGAACGCCAACTTCTGTTCAACCAGGCTTGCCGCCTGGTCCTCTTCCTATCTCCACTCAAGCAACAGCTTCAGAGAGACAAGTCGTCACAACCTCCACTGATATATGATATACAGTATACCTACTTGTTGAAAAACCCTCAGCCAAGCGGCCCAGCCCGGAAGGGCAGAATCTTTCCGACAGCGGTCGAAGATCGCCACATCAAAGGGTCGGGACGCCAGCTCCTCGAGACCGGACCTGGGCATCAGCGAAGCTTGAGATACTCGTGCTTTTGTTGTTGGAGCCTTCGTGGTCGCTGGGGTTCGGACTCTGTGGATGCTGCATTGGCTAAGCTTGTCTTTGTGTAGATCGTGTATCCTGTCGTTGGCTGTGTTTTTTGCTTTGACTGCTGCTGCTGCTACCGTTGTTGCTTGCTGACGTGTCCATTCACCGGCTTGCTCGATGGCTTTGCTCGCTCTCCTCGATTCGTGTGTTGTCGAAACTCTAGTAATGCTTTTTGACCTCGAGCTGTTCACTCTGAATCCTGCTTCAGCTGCTGCTTGCGCAGTGGCAGTTGTCGTCGACCTCCTTCTTATCACCTGCGGCCTGGTGTCCGTGGTCGTCGTCGTTCTTGTAAGTATCCATGTCATATGCGTGGTGGCACACTGTTGTGATGATGTTAGTAGTGATGGTGATGCCGGTGACCGTGAGTGTCAAGGCACCTTCGTCAGTGTCCTCGTGTAAGTACCACCATCACTATCACCAGCCAAACCATAACCATCATCACCCTCACCACAGTCATCAGCATCATCAGCGTCGTCATCACAGTCCTCCTCCGCCTCCTCTTGCGCAGCAGCAGCAGCAGCAGCAGCCTGAACAAGCATGATCATGGTAGTTATCGTCACAATCCTGCTTGCCGCCGTCGTCATCGTCATTCCTAGTATCAGTCTGTTTATGAATCCGTGCAAGCAAGCCCCAACCCCCCTCCGTGGCCCCGCGCTTGAGGCAGTCGAAGAGGGGACCCGGTGGGTCCTGCCTTCCAGGCTGCACAAACACCAACCATTGACTGAACACTGAAGAGAAGCCACCAAGCCGAGGAATGAAACCGCCATTATGACCTAGATTCAACAGCTAATCTCACGACTCATCCGGGCCATCCACTGTACTCCTGGTGGTACGTGTGTTGTTGAATTAAAAGGAAAACACAATGAAACAACCGTAGTGTAGTGTAAGCGTGGTTTTTCTCTTTTCTGGAACTGAATATTGAATACGTGTGTTGGCGAAGGTTTAAGTCATCATGCGAAACGCCATCCGGTCTAAACTACATCGGAGAGCGTTGCTAGTGTGTTGAAAGGACGCACCGTGATCATCGTTGTCCGGCTGAGCCCTCTACCATCCTCTGCCTGTTGACGGAATTACAGCTGACACGACAGACTGAACATCATCGAGAAGAAGACACCACTGCTCGGGCTTTGTTCCTGCCTCGCCGCTTCCACCAGGGCTTTGCTGAGCCCTGCATCTCGGATGTTGGCGCTGAACGTGCACTGCACAGCGCCTGCCGCACGAACGCAACTCAACAAATGTCGTAGCGACAGGGAGCAGACGCAAGTTTTCAACGGCAGCGGCTTCAGAAATCGGCCGTCATTGTTGGAATAGGGATGCATGCTGCCTACAGAAGACCGTCATGACCGTTTCCAGCAATGGCAACACCACGGGAAGGGTGGCGAAGGGCTTGCAAAAATGCAAAGCGGCAAGTGCGCTCAGACTAGGATTCGAGGATGCCACCGGGTCTCACAAATACAAAAACATCACAACCAGCAATGCGACGCGAAGAAAGCATCTCCTACTATAGGGGCCTTAGTTTAATATATACATACCTATACTATTTGGAGGCGTCCTTATTAAAACTATAATACAATTATTGACGTTTCATATATAAGTACCTAGAATATTTGGAGGGTTCCGTGTTCTAAGTATAGTACAAACTGATGGCCTCAGTTTAATATTTCATTATCTATACCGTTCGGAGGGCTCCTTATTCTGGTTATAGTACATATATTGATATCTGGTTCAACCGCCTCTTGCCTGCTCCTCGCTCCACGGCTCGGGTAACTGGCAGCATGGTCCACTTGTAGAAGTCCTGGTCATGGATGGGCCAGAAAGACACAGGGAGTGTCGGGGCCTTAATCCTAGTACTTAGAATAGAGTTCCCCCAAAATAGTATAGGTTATTCTGGAGGCCACTATAGTAAGGCCGACACGAAGTGAAGTCTCGAGTTCTGCATGAGATGCCACGCACTTGACGAAGACCAGCTGGGCCCCTTGCATTGTAGGCACTGGCCGGAACCGACTCGCCTTCCAGCGATGAGTATGTGGGTAGTTGTCAAAATTATGGTCCCTTTATTTGAGTACCCTAAATATTAGGTGCCGTACTACAATGGGGACCCACAAAGGGACCATTGTTTCAGGATGCCAATGGGCCCTCCTCCCCGCAGTTTTCCGTCGGGCTCAAACTTGTCGAGCATCTTTTGGACCTGGAAAGCTGCAGACGCTGCTGGTTGCTGGCATGAGGGGCTCCACTTTTGCTCCCTGTGCCTGCGCACCATGGGCGGCAAGAAACTCTTGCCTAATTGGGCAAGCGGCTGAATTCTACTGCCTGTCATGCATAAGCTGTTGCAGGCTCATAGACACACTCATTATGAGCCAAAGTGGCGCCAGTGCAGCTGCTGGCTCCTCTTCCTGCACGGGTTGACGGCAACTCGACAGATAGGTTCGCCACCTAATTCGTTGAATGAAGCTGATGGCCTCTCTTGCTTTTCCGAGCCCTTTGCACAGGCTGGGCTAGAAGAAAGACGGACGTGTGGTTAACAGGCCCATCCTTTCTTTTCGTAGGGCCGATGGCCCATCCCTCCCCCTCTCTCTCCCACTCTGCGCTCATGGTTTCAAGAAGCAGTCCTTGGTAGCAGCTTGACATCTTTCTTGAAAAGCTTCTTTGAATCCTGAGGCAGCTGTTCGCTTTCCAACGCGGCTCAGAAGCCCCGAGCCAATGCAGCGAAGCAACTCTCGTAAAGCGTCATGACCTGTCTGGGCAACCAGGAACAACAAGAATAAACCGAATGCACCATGAAGCAACATCTGAGAGCTCATTTTTAAGGAACGACAATGACGACATTAGTGGCTTGAGTATTGTGGCTGTGTTAATCCGGCGAGCCTCTTCTGCAAATCATGTCTCCGAGTCTTAGAGCAAGAGTTACCAAGACAGTTCCCTTCTTTCGCCCAACCTCCGCCGCTACTCTTCTGAAGGATGATCTGCTCGTCACAAACATCCAGACCGGAATAAGCTGTATAGTATGCTGGGACCGATCAGCTCCAGAACTGCTACGGCCCGGGCTGTGGAAACTTACAGTGCTCAGAGCTCGCTCTTTGCCTCTTCTCGCCTGTCTTTGCAAACGCTCTTCTGATGTCTGCAGGCTTGACCACTACATATAGCGAACACCAGCAAGTGCCCCAAACCCAATGACACGACAGAATCCGAGCAAAGCATCCCATTCAATGAACCCTCAGAAGAAACACTAACTCGTCCCAGACACTCGGGGAGCTTTCGCAGCACTTGGCCGCTTCATCCTAGCTACCGAGCCGCAGCCGGCTGCAGTAAAGACATAGGCCAATGACCAATGACCTTCGACTCAAAACGGTGCAATCACAGACCAGCAGTGCCTCGCTTCAAGACCTGCTATGGGTTGAGACTCGAGGCCCTGCAAAAATGGGCACCACAGCTTATCCATGCTGGCAATGGGCAGCTCCGGGTGTTTTGACTCCAAGCGATCGAAAGAGGTCGTGTGACACCGCATGTGCAAGGACTCGGAGGTCAATTCTGAATTTTTCTGAAACAGTGTACCCGATCAACTGGCTTTGTTCCGCAGCTGTGCTTGCACTTGTTACACAATGTCTCTGCCGCCGGATGCCGTCACTTGAATGTTACATGTTTGACAAATGTTGCATGTGTTTCATGGCAGGTTGTCGCTTGGCACCGATCAAGTCGATTCTGGTCTCACCCGACTCATTCATAGGGCCTAAATAGTTACCTATACTATTTTGGGGGTTCCTTATCATACTTTTAGTATCATAGGCCCCAAAGCCCTCTTCTAATTATGAAAGGCCCCTATCTGAAGTCCTCCCTTTGGCTCCAGTCGATGGGGCCGCCGGGCAGAGAGCCGATCTTCGGCCTTTCCATGGCTTAGATGGTGCTTATTTGGGCTTCAGGTAATTCGGGGTACAATACCCTTTCTAGGGGACCTTGCAATTGGGATCTTTTGCTTTGGTGGCAAGAGGTTTCCTCCCTCGTTTTCAGAGACGAGTGCATTGATGAGGGAGTCCTGATCTGCTTTGCCACGAGTGGCGTTCATGCTCACAATCCATCCCCCTCCTCCTCCTCCTCCTCCTCCTCCTCCTTCCCACTCACACCGCATCATCATCATCATCGTCGTCATCGTCATCATCATCGGTGCTCATGTTTCTCCTCGTCGTCTTCGTCCTCGTCCTCCTCCTTCGCGTCGTCCTTCCCTGCCACTGCCATCCCCCTCCAGCAGTCTCGTCCTAGCCCCGCTGAGCCTCCTGCTCATCATCACTCTAGTCACTGTCTGCCTTCTGCCTGCAGCAGGATGTATCCTGTCGTATGCATATCAGGCTGCCACGGTAGCACAAGCATCTTGAGATGCTCGTAATGCGAGAGGGCAGATGGATATTCGAAAATCAATGCAGCCTGCCCTGCACCCGGTTCCCTGGAATGGGCTTTGCCTCGCTTTGGACTTCGGACGCAGGGCCGCCAATGACGACAAGGCCTGGGCCAAAAGCGACGACATCGCAGCAAAGGCGGCCCGATGTCTCTTTTGTTGCTGAGCTCCCGTCGCCAGAGCCGACATCCTTGGAGCTCCAGGGACTACCCTTCGGATAGAGGTTACAGACCGCTCTGAGGCGGGGACTCGGCCGGGCAGACCAAGGCCTGGCAGAAGCCGAAGGAGCGAAAGCGCCACTCTCTGGGCCCTGGGCGTCTCGGCGCGACCTGGCAGACCGCCGCCCAGGAAGTCTCCAGAGCCGGAGCCCTGTTTCAGAGCGCATCAGGGATCCTGTTTCAGATCTTAGCAAGACCCGGCCTGGAGGAGGTTTCCGCGTCCTGGTGTTTTCAACTCACTGTCGGATCTGCTTGCAAGATGCCCATGACAGTTTTGAAGTCATCCTGCTACTGCTACTGCAACTGCTAGAATGGAAAAAGAAGTAATAGTAGTAGTAGTAGTAGTAGTAGTAGTAGTAGTAGTAGTAGTAGTAGTAGTAGTAGTAGTAGTAGTAGCAGTAGTAGTAGTAGTAGCAGTAGCAGTAGCAGCAGCAGTAGCAGTAGTAGTCGTCGTCGTCGTCGTAGTGGTAGTGGTAGCAGCAGCAGGAGGAGTCGTCGTCGTAGTAGTAGCTACTGCGACTACTGCTGCTGCTCCTACTACGCCTGCTACTCCGAGAATCGTACTGACGACAACAACGACTACTACGGCGGCTTCCCCTATTGCTGCGCGATGACAGTTAGCGGGACTTCCACGACAACATGCCAACAGCTGGAAATACGGCTTAATCATGCTTAATCTACCGCCACCACGAGAACCATGAACTATGCTGGCCAGCAACCAGGTGCACCATCACCACCTGACATGATAGCAAATAATAATGACTCTCAGGAAAAGGAGACGAGTACCACCCCAAACCAAACAATTCGAGTGTGGTACATCGAAGTAGGGTGGCGATCGAATGATGCTGACTAATTACGGTGATGACGATTTCAACGATGATGGTGTGTGATGCGGCTCGCGATGCTCGTGGCCAACCGCTGGTGCAACGGCGAATGGTCTCGTTCCGAAGCTGCAGACAGGAAGAGGGCCCCTCCTGCGGCGCCCCGCGCGAGCGGGTTACTGCGCTTGGGACCGGCCTGGAATGAGCGCCCACCATGTGTGCTTACAATCCCCTATATCATGCTCTTGCGTCACATTCATGCTGTCAACCGCAGGCCTTGGAAAAAGCAGGCGAAGCCGAAGCCGGGGTGGAGGCTGCTGGGGAGGTCGACTGCACAGGCTGTGCTGCCTCCGCACATGGCTTCATGGTTTTCGGACCAATAATACCAATACATACATACATACATATATATATATAAATCATAACAATAGTAGTAATAATTACTCTCTTCTTCAACAACCGGGCCCAAAAAGTTCAAACTTTCTAAGATAGAGCTAATATATAAGGCCAAAAAGTTCAAAGTTCCCCCCTTCACCATCTAAGATTGTAAATATATATATATATATATATATATATGTATATACATATATATATATATATATATATTAGAGCTTCACTGCCTTCATGAACTGCAGTGTCTTCGATTCCGAAGGTCGGGCATCCAATCAGAAAGCCAACTGGAAAGCTCCCCATGTGCCTCCTTGGTGTCAGTCTTTGGTGTGTCATCGGAAGACTCATCAAGGCCTTGGCAGAAGGATAATTAACACGAGACGGCTGCACTCCACGGACTTACACCGTGTTCTTGCGGTGCTCTGAACTCTCAAGTCTACCGCGGCGCCTAAGTCTCGCAAGATTCCCGGGGTGTTTCTGGCGCGTGTCGCGCCACCTGATGCAGCAGCGAAGGCCGCTAAGGGGCAGCAAGAGACAACGTGAGACTTGAGCTTTAAGGCATCTTCGATCCTGTGGCAAATGTTCTATCTTGCGTCGCCTTGTCGGTCGGATGTACCAGCCGCCAGCAGCGGAGCCTAAGCAAACGGTTTTTCAAAACGGCTCGTCAGCCGTGGAGAGAACCATTCCGCTGAGCCGAAGCGATACTTTGCCGAGTTCTGGACAGGCGCCTTGCTCGCAGAGGAGGCGCCAGAGCTCACACCGCCTGCATGGGAGTTGCCGCTGTGAGTTTTGTGTCTTAGTAAGCCCACTTTGAAAACAGTCGAAGTGCTTCGACTGCAGTTGTCAACACGAAAGTTCAGGAGACCCTGCCCCGTCTGCTTCCAGCGGCGCCTTTGGTTGGAATCTCCTCCAGGGGGCTGGCCTGAGAGAAAGGAATCAAAGCGCATCAAAGCTCGGATGCAGCTCTAAAGCCTCTGGTCGTCAATCAGGATCATGGCTCTGATTCTTGCGCCAACATGAATTTCCGTCCCTCACATCCTAGCCTCGCCGAGGACACCAAGACCGTTTTGACCTGCACCAAGTCTGGCAAGAGGCGCCGCTGCAGCGTTCAAAAGATGTCCGCGGAGGTTCCGGCTCCCAATACCGACAGCAGTTTGGGCATTTAATTTGCTCGTGCTCGTCTTTCCTGTCGTGCTCGGCGGGCTCTTAGCAAGGCTTCCGAAGCAGTGGATGCCTTGCTCACCGAAGCTGAAGCTCCCAGCCTCGGAGCAAGGTTTTGGGTTCAGGAGCACTCTTTCCGAACTCCTCAGCATCTACGTAGCAAAGTAGCTAGCAGCTGAGAGCAGCGCGCTGGCCTCCTGCGGCACTTCCGGCGAGGCGAAGCCAAGCGAACTGTTCGAGTCCTGCTCCGGGCTCATAGATCTGCGGTTGGGCTTCGAATGATCACTGACACATGCAGAGCGTAAGATGTTACGCGACGCGAGCTCCGACTGCGCAAAATTCAAACTCGACTTTGTTGTAGTACAAGATGCACCATATCGTCTCGAGTACTATGCTGTGCTACACCACTTGCTCATCTAGCTTAGCCGAGCTGACTTAGCTTGCCCTCCCTTGCCGTATCTTGTCTGATACCGTTGATACCTGATAGCCTGAGCGCATACGTTGTCTACATCTAGGATGCCTATGGCACTGCACTGAGTTGCTTTGACTCTCCTATGCCATGTTGTGCTGTGTCAGACAGACAGTGTCCTGCTGTGTCGTACCCAGACGGTCTACAAGTACGATATCGCCTTCTACTCTCCTCTATTCTACTTCCGTTTCGTTCTATCAGGTCATATCCTGAACACTTTCCTGAGGCTTGCCCATGAGTCGTGCAAGATCTTCGTATCCGTCTACATCGTAGCATCTTCGACTTTTTCCTCATGTCGCGAATCGGCTTTCTGGGCTCGCTGAAACTCAAGATGCCTGACTTGCCATTAAAGGTTACAGCTCGCAGGACCCAATACTCGGGAGGAGGCTCGTCGTGTAAGAAGCGCCCGAAGTTGGAAATTCAATCCAAACTCTCCTGCTCTCATGTTTGTATGCCCGGCAGTCTACTCAACAACCTTCACGCCTTGCGCGGAAAGGGTGGAACCAAACCGAACACCAGAACTCCCTCCAATAATACGCGACTACCGTGTACGGCCTCGGGCGATCTGACCGCCTGCCAAGAGGTCACGCACCAAAGCAGGAAGAGCGGAAGCATAAGGCTGCAAGCTCAGACTAAGTCTAGCGTGATATAGCGTGATATGTGCTGTCGTGGCACAGATGTCGGGGCAGTTACGACAGTGGGGGTTAATACATAGTGCTAAACTAGATGGTAACGGCTTCCTTGGATTCTCAATGTGTCGACCACTGACAGCTCGCCCTCCGCGGCTATCTCTGTCGCTTCCGCCGGCCTGGTTGACCTTGCCGGAAGCAACTGGCACCTGCCCGATGGCAAGAGGCAAGTGTAGACACACTGTTGCTACTGTCGTTGCTACGGTCAGCATTGTGCTTTTTGTTGTTGCCGATTATAGTTGTTATCATTATTGCCAATTTTCGTCAATATTATCTTTGCTAGTGCTAATGTCATCGTCAGTGGTATTGTTGCTGTTGTGGTCGTTGTTGTTGTGGTCCTTGTGGTCGTTGCTGTCGTGGCGGTCGCTGTTGTGGTTGTCGTTGTCTTTGTCGTTATCGTTATTGTTGCTGTGGGTAGTAGGAGTCGTCGTAGTAGTAGTAGTCGTCGTCGTCGTCGTCGTGGTAGACGAATGTGTTACATACCAAAGCAAGTGCGCATGGATGCCTGCATGCTTGTATACTCTCAAACATGTGTTCATGTGGGCTGAATGGCCTGCGGCTGCTCGACCACCTGGAGATGCGGCGAAATCTGCCTGGCGCAAGTTCATAGAATGTCCTCGACCTGCGTACTTAGTCTTAATGCCGCACTTGAGGGGATGCCCAAACTATTTTGGGGGTTCCTGATTAGGTTCATATAGTATAATTGGGCCTCAAAACCCTGTTCTAACAATTACCTTCCACGCGCCTCTGCGCCTTCTGGCGGGCACTGAAAGGGATCATCGCCTTGGTCTCTCGGATCGCAAAGCTCCCCCAATGCCAAAACACCCAGACTATAGGGTTTAGGGTAGTGAACACCCGAAAGGTGGAATAGTGCTGGGATTCCCTATACATTACTCTTCGGGAATGAGGCAAATGGGTTTCCAACTTTCGGGCTTCTACTGTACGCCGCTCGAAGGCTGGGAGAAGGCTCGGACATCTAGGTCAGCCTCCTCCGTGTCCTCTGCTTCCTGAAGCTCGGCAGTCCTTGCCAGGTTCAAAAACAATGGACGGATTATGTCTTGCGACATCGATAAGGCTGTTGGGTTTCAGATGCAAGGTTCATAGGGCGTACTGGTATCTGCTTCGCTTCAGTTTCTTGGCACTGTCGAGGGGCTCTGCATCAACTCTCCTCCATCGCTTGTGGCAGGTCTGTATTCTGTGCGATTGCGTTGCAAACGCCCGAAGCTGCAGTCTTGCACTTTGCAGGGCTCCCAAGTTTAACGTGAGTCCTGATCGGCAGCCTGTCCATTTCTGGCACGGCGTCGCTCGCCGTGGTGTTTTCGGCGACCTGCCCCATCGCCCGTCGAAGAAGTTCAGATGCTATAGCATCGAAACGCATCAGACCTAAGCTGCCGTGTGTCTAGAGGCTAGGAATCTCTGGCTCAGATGCCCCGGGCCTCGGAAAGAATGGGCCTCGGTGGGTAAGTTGCCGCTGTCTTGACTGGAGCACTGGGACTAGGACTCCTACAAGCAGCAGCTGCCTGACTCTCCCTTCTGGGCCGTGAGATCGCGGAGTGCTGATTTCCGTGCAGCTGCTTCAGGAAGACCCCCCCCCCTGCAGATCGGCCTGGGCACTGGATCCGGCTTGTCTTCTCCACCTAGCTGAGTCGGGGATTGAATGCTTCGCAAAAACATTGAATACTGCGCAAAACACGAACACATCCATCGACTTTGCGATCGCCTCCCTCTCCCCGGTCCGATGCAGAGTCTTGGAAGCCGGCGCGGTGAGTTGTGGCCACTCGGGAAATGCAGATCCTCTAAGAGGCAGAATCAAAGTGAACATGCTGTGAAGTTAGGAATTGCCTCCGCAGAACTTTCAGAAGCAGGGGGGACAGCCTCAGCGGCGAGGCATCACATGCACTTACACCAAGCTTGCGACTGCAGCCGTTCTCTACTAATTGCAGACCAGCTTGCATTCTTTGCTCCCTCTTCCTCCTGGAGCACACGGCATGGCACCCCACACAGCGAGCATCGGGGCTGCGGAAAGCGAGGCTCCTTCCGCGGAGTGCCGCTGGTCGAACTCCCGTACCAATCCTCAGGAGCTTGCAAAACACTCAATGCTCAAACTCAGAAATGTCAACACTCCCTATTCTTGACATTCCTGGACAAGAAGGTCAGAGGATACTCCAGCAGCAAGCGAGAAGGCCGGTCTTTGGACTGCACTGGCCATTGTCGGAATAAGGCCTATTGAATCCAAAACCACGCCACCTGAAACAACCCTAAACCCTTGAACCCTACACCCTAACCCCTGAAGCCCTCGAGCCGCACATCCTAAAGCCGTATGTCCCGGATTCCGAGGGGCATTGTCGCCTCGCGCGGCGGCGGCAGAGGCGCGGAGTGCCGGCACTCTGGGCGCCGACTCTGGCGGAGTCAGCAAAGGGCCCAGGGGCACTTCCAGGATGCCTCGAAGCGAGTAGGGTTTATAAGGGTTTTTGAAGGGGTTATGAGGGGTTATAAGGGGCTATCAGGGGTTAGAAGGGTATAAGGGGGGTTGCTATGAGGCGTACGACTGAGGAGTCCCTAAAACAAGACTCCGGCAATGCTCTTTCTTCTTTAACTTCGGGCTCCACTGTTTTTGAAACGCCCAGCAATTCAAGAATTAGGGGTTTGGGGGATACTATACTAGAATTTATTGTAATTGTACTATAATTAGAACAAGGGACCACCAAAACCCTATTGCCGTTTATAAGTAGGATTTTAATTGGGGTAACTCCATGTAGGGTACTTAGAACTCTTCTGATAACCTACTTACTAAGTCCCCTGCCCCTCTAAGGAGAACAGGAAGGTAGTGCGACCGTCCGGCCTAGGCTCCCAAGAATCTCGCCGCCCGCCTTTCAGGGATCAGGCGGTGTACTATAGGGGCCTTAAGAATCAGAATCGGGCTCCTTGAAAGAGGTCTATAAGGGCTAGTATAAGGGCTTTTCTAAGGATTTAGTATAGGGGCAATAGAGGCAATTATTATAAGACCCCTATAGTATGGGGTTGAGAGCGGTTCGGATTTAGGATCAAGGATCCGGGTCGAGACCTGGCTCTACCAGCTGTGAAAGCGCAACCGTACTTCAGCGGCACTCGGCTGGTTTCAAGAGTTTCAGGCCCTTTGCACCTCTCATCAGCAAAGAACACGACAACGACATAAGAGCTGCTTGTTGTAAACTGCGCTGCCATTCTCAGCGTCTAATCAACTTCTACCTAGGACCGCAAGGTGGAGGTGTTTGCGCATTGGCTCAGTCTCTGGTTAGCACCGGAACCTGTGTATACCCATGCACTGCTTCTGAGTCTGCACTTGGTGGAGCACATGATCAGGACCTGCTGCTTCATGAGCATCTTTGCAGCTGCGCCAAATTTCAGAATCTGCAAGGTGAAGCCCGTACTTGGGCTGAACTGCCAGAGAGTGGAGGCTGCTGCCTGCTTGTCACAGTTGCTAAAGCGATCCCGACAGTATAACATGTGACTACAGTCGGCTTTCACCAGGTTCATCGCCTTCCATCTACACTGTACAAGCTGAGATTTGGACTGAAAACAGAAGCGCTCCCAACGGAAGGAGGCATGGGGAGAATGAGCCCCGTTCGGTTGGCACCCTGCATCGGGTGCTCACGGCATGACTGTGCTGCTGCAAGTGGCCAGCTTCTGAGCTATCAGCTTGGCACAAAGCTTCACTGCAAGCTGCAAATGCTGACCTTTGGTCTCCCAATGACACTCTCTGCCCAAAGGCACGGGGACTTTCCCCGCAGCATGTTGGGAGCAAGCTCCCTGTATGTTGGCTGCGTGGCCGTGCTTCCTCTGCCTCCTTTGGTGGGGTTGAATCGGTGGTGTCTCTTTGCTGCGCAGCTGCGATTTCTCACTCGAGGTGCAGGTTCATCGCCCTCCATAAACTGTACAAGCTGAGATTTGGACTGAAAACAGAAGCGCTCCCAACGGAAGCAGGCACGGGGAGAATGAGCCCCGTTCGGTTGGCACCCTGCATCGGGTGCTCACGGCATGACTGTGCTGCTGCAAGTGGCCAGCTTCTGAGCTATCAGCTTGGCACAAAGCTTCACTGCAAGCTGCAAATGCTGACCTTTGGTCTCCCAATGACACTCTCTGCCCAAAGGCACGAGGACTTTCCCCGCAGCATGTTGGGAGCAAGCTCCCTGTATGTTGGCTGCGTGGCCGTGCTTCCTCTGCCTCCTTTGGTGGGGTTGAATCGGTGGTGTCTCTTTGCTGCGCAGCTGCGATTTCTCACTCGAGGTGCAGGTTCATCGCCTTTCATATACACTGTACAAGCTGAGATTTGGACCAAGACAGACGCGCTCCCAACGGAAGGAGGCATGGGGAGAATGAGCCCCGTTCGGTTGGCACCCTGCATCGGGTGCTCACGGCATGACTGTGCTGCTGCAAGTGGCCAGCTTCTGAGCTATCAGCTTGGCACAAAGCTTCACTGCAAGCTGCAAATGCTGACCTTTGGTCTCCCAATGACACTCTCTGCCCAAAGGCTCGGGGACTTTCCCCGCAGCATGTTGGGAGCAAGCTCCCTGTATGTTGGCTGCGTGGCCGTGCTTCCTCTGCCTCCTTTGGTGGGATTGAATCGGTGACGCCTCTTTGCTGCGCAGCTGCGATTTCTCACTCGAGGTGCAGGATCGTCGCCTTTCATATACACTGTACAAGCTGAGATTTGGACTGAAAACAGAAGCGCTCCCAACGGAAGGAGGCATGGGGAGAATGAGCCCCGTTCGGTTGGCACCCTGCATCGGGTGCTCACGGCATGACTGTGCTGCTGCAAGTGGCCAGCTTCTGAGCTATCAGCTTGGCACGAAGCTTCACTGCAAGCTGCAAATGCTGACCTTTGGTCTCCCAATGGCACTCTCTGCCCAAAGGCACGGGGACTTTCCCCGCAGCATGTTGGGAGCAAGCTCCCTGTATGTTGGCTGCGTGGCCGTGCTTCCTCTGCCTCCTTTGGTGGGGTTGAATCGGTGATGCCTCTTTGCTGCGCAGCTGCGATTTCTCACTCGCGGTGCAGGTTCATCGCCCTCCACAAACTGTACAAGCTGAGATTTGGACCAAGACAGACGCGCTCCCAACGGAAGGAGGCATGGGGAGAATGAGCCCCGTTCGGTTGGCACCCTGCATCGGGTGCTCACGGCATGACTGTGTTGCTGCAAGTGGCCAGCTTCTGAGCTATCAGCTTGGCACAAAGCTTCACTGCAAGCTGCAAATGCTGACCTTTGGTCTCCCAATGACACTCTCTGCCCAAAGGCTCGGGGACTTTCCCCGCAGCATGTTGGGAGCAAGCTCCCTGTATGTTGGCTGCGTGGCCGTGCTTCCTCTGCCTCCTTTGGTGGGATTGAATCGGTGACGCCTCTTTGCTGCGCAGCTGCGATTTCTCACTCGAGGTGCAGGATCGTCGCCTTTCATATACACTGTACAAGCTGAGATTTGGACTGAAAACAGAAGCGCTCCCAACGGAAGGAGGCATGGGGAGAATGAGCCCCGTTCGGTTGGCACCCTGCATCGGGTGCTCACGGCATGACTGTGCTGCTGCAAGTGGCCAGCTTCTGAGCTATCAGCTTGGCACGAAGCTTCACTGCAAGCTGCAAATGCTGACCTTTGGTCTCCCAATGGCACTCTCTGCCCAAAGGCACGGGGACTTTCCCCGCAGCATGTTGGGAGCAAGCTCCCTGTATGTTGGCTGCGTGGCCGTGCTTCCTCTGCCTCCTTTGGTGGGGTTGAATCGGTGATGCCTCTTTGCTGCGCAGCTGCGATTTCTCACTCGCGGTGCAGGTTCATCGCCCTCCACAAACTGTACAAGCTGAGATTTGGACCAAGACAGACGCGCTCCCAACGGAAGGAGGCATGGGGAGAATGAGCCCCGTTCGGTTGGCACCCTGCATCGGGTGCTCACGGCATGACTGTGCTGCTGCAAGTGGCCAGCTTCTGAGCTATCAGCTTGGCACGAAGCTTCACTGCAAGCTGCAAATGCTGACCTTTGGTCTCCCAATGACACTCTCTGCCCAAAGGCACGGGGACTTTCCCCGCAGCATGTTGGGAGCAAGCTCCCTGTATGTTGGCTGCGTGGCCGTGCTTCCTCTGCCTCCTTTGGTGGGATTGAATCGGTGACGCCTCTTTGCTGCGCAGCTGCGATTTCTCACTCGAGGTGCAGGATCGTCGCCTTCCATATACACTGTACAAGTTGAGATTTGGACCAAAAACAGAAGCGCTCCCGACGGAAGGAGGCATGGGGGGAATAAGCCCCGTTCGGTTGGCACCCTGCATCGGGTGCTCACGGCATGACTGTGCTGCTGCAAGTGGCCAGCTTCTGAGCTATCAGCTCGGCACAAAGCTTCACTGCAAGCTGCAAATGCTGACCTTTGGTCTCCCAATGACACTCTCTGCCCAAAGGCACGGGGACTTTCCCCGCAGCATGTCGGGAGCAAGCTCCCTGTATGTTGGCTGCGTGGCCGTGCTTCCTCTGCCTCCTTTGGTGGGGTTGAATCGGTGATGCCTCTTTGCTGCGAAGCTGCGATTTCTCACTCGAGGTGCAGGATCGTCGCCTTTCATAGACACTGTACAAGCTGAGATTTGGACCAAAAACAGAAGCGCTCCCAACGGAAGGAGGCATGGGGAGAATGAGCCCCGTTCGGTTGGCACCCTGCATCGGATGCTCACGGCATGACTGTGCTGCTGCAAGTGGCCAGCTTCTGAGCTATCAGCTTGGCACGAAGCTTCACTGCAAGCTGCAAATGCTGACCTTTGGTCTCCCAATGACACTCTCTGCCCAAAGGCACGGGGACTTTCCCCGCAGCATGTTGGGAGCAAGCTCCCTGTATGTTGGCTGCGTGGCCGTGCTTCCTCTGCCTCCTTTGGTGGGGTTGAATCGGTGATGCCTCTTTGCTGCGCAGCTGCGATTTCTCACTCGCGGTGCAGGTTCATCGCCCTCCACAAACTGTACAAGCTGAGATTTGGACCAAAACAGACGCGCTCCCAACGGAAGGAGGCATGGGGAGAATGAGCCCCGTTCGGTTGGCACCCTGCATCGGGTGCTCACGGCATGACTGTGCTGCTGCAAGTGGCCAGCTTCTGAGCTATCAGCTTGGCACAAAGCTTCACTGCAAGCTGCAAATGCTGACCTTTGGTCTCCCAATGACACTCTCTGCCCAAAGGCACGGGGACTTTCCCCGCAGCATGTCGGGAGCAAGCTCCCTGTATGTTGGCTGCGTGGCCGTGCTTCCTCTGCCTCCTTTGGTGGGATTGAATCGGTGACGCCTCTTTGCTGCGCAGCTGGGATTTCTCACTCGAGGTGCAGGTTCATCGCACTCCATAAACTGTACAAGCTTGTGGCACTGGACCGAAGACGGTCCCGTTGAGGTCGGGCCCTGCTACACACGTCGCCATTTGCACAGCCTCGGTGCGGTGAATGCTCCTTTGGGCAAGCCATATAGATTTGAGCCCAGGCTTGGCAGCTCCAGAAAATTCCATGACATCCCTCTCAACCGATCTCGCTCCTTGGGATGCCCTAAAACCCTAAACCCTGAGCCCACAGCAGAGTCTCGCACAGAAGCATTTCAGCCCGTTCTGCCTGCGCCTGTGTGGCTACGACGGGCATCAGCTCAGGGTCGTCAGTCTCGTGCGCCTGTGCCTCCTTCAGGCCAAAGGGGAGAACGGCGAAATACATATCATATTTTTATGATATTATATCATAACATATTATATCAGCCTAATGGTATTATATTATATTACATCAATATATTTTTGTACTATATTGTTATACTATATTATAGTTGAAGTTCTCGGAAGTGACGGTGTCCAGTGTCCTCTGAGGCCGGAGGTGGCAAAGCCGCTGGCAACGCTGAACCTGGCCCGGGTCAGCTTATGCAGGGCGTCAGATGGCGTGAACCGAGTGTAATACACTATAATCTAATATCATACAATATAATATTCTTGTATGATATATTATGGTTAATATTATATTAATCCACCCGTGGCCCTGTCGCTCTTGTTTTCAAGATGGGTGGCGGGTTTGGCTTACAGCAAGGCAGAAGGAGTGAGGTAGTTGCTGGTGCTTCAGTGCGAAGGCGAATGGTATGAACTTGTCTCATCCATCCCGCCCACTTTACACAGCTATACATGCCGCACTGAGAGCATGCAACATCGACTACTTCTGCATGGCCATAGGCAAGTTGGTAGGAGGGCTCTCGCCGCCTTGCGTGTGCAAGGACTGTAGAAGCGTATTGGTCTCCCCGTGCAGCGATTGCAGCAGGGTGTTAAAATCTGCCGAAAACGATGATCGCATCGCCAGCAGGGCATCGTAAATCTTTTGACGAACAAACCGGTTCATGGCAGGGAACCCACCTGCAAGCAGCAGAAGGAAGCGGAAGACGTAATGTTGAATCTACACTGCACTGTAAACATACTCCTTTTAGTGTAGCTGGCATCGAGCCCTCCCTGAGCGAGGCACCAGGCATCTGTGCGACGAGCTCGTCGATCATGTCCTTGTCCTGCCAGCAGCAACTCTGCTCGGAATGACACAGCTGCAGAAGCCCGAAACGGACTGATTGCAGACTTTAGAGCCGGGCCGTTTAGTAGACTTTCCAAACTCTTCCGTCCCAGATCGCCTTCAAGGTCATTCGACACGATGTGCAGTCCTTCTTCACGGAGGCCGTGGCATCCTCCAAACGCAGCGTTGCCAGCCGCTCCTGGTGGTTAAGGCTTCATTGTCTGGAGGTTAGCTATATGTTATGTGTGCTTGGACAACCCGAAAAACCTCATGAAGGACCCTCAGTTGGATGTTGGGGTGGTAGCATGAGCTTGCTCGGCCTTGGTGCTTATTCTCAGATTCCAACTGCAAGCGGGCTGTGGCTGTAAGCTCTCCTTCCCTGGTTTGAGGAGCTGTGGGCTGTGTGTACGGCATGAGTGCACTTACCCTGAAGGGATTCAGCTTCCCTGCACCTCAACCTGCGAATTGGATGCGTTGCAGGAGCTGTGGCTACAACTGAGCTGGGGCTTTGCACCTGAAGACAGCAGCAGCTGCTAGCAGGCCCCGCTATGGCTGTGGGGTCGGGCCAGGAGGGAATGATACTTGCATGTACACATTCTGTCCTGTAAGCCAACAGACAAATACAGCTGTTAAGAAGCCTAGAAGTTTAGGCATAATAGTCATAGGTGTCGCCAGAAGCATAACCAAGGTCAGCCACAAATTTAAGTAGAAAGCCGTGCACATAGCCTCATTGCAGATTGAGGCACTGCGATGCGCATGGCCACGTCGACGCCGGCCTTCCCCTCATGGAGCACTCCTCCAATATTCAGTGGTCTGCTCTCTGTCATCCCGAAACCACAACTCCGCCAAAAACGCCGAGAAATCGAGCGCCAATTCGCAAGAAGCATTCATGGGAACCTCAAACCCGGTAAAGCCTAAACTTTTGTCCCAAAACTCTAAAATTCTAAACCCAACATGCACTGATCTGATCATGAAGCTGTGCCTGATGAGGTACACAGCCAAAGGCCCTGGAAGTTGTCTGCCTCGTTCTCCTGTGCCCGCTGCGGGTTTCTATTGAAAGACGTGGGCTCCCGAAGCCTCTTGTACAACTATGCAGCTTGAAGGAAACCATGCAATAAGTCGCTTCCCTCTTACGTTTGGCTCATTGTCGCGACTCCGATGTCATCGGCGTCGAAAAAGCAGCTGGAAAGGTGCCTAGAAAGCCCCTCTGCTGGTGGAGAAGGTGCAAACTTCGGCCCAGAAGGCCTAGATTCTTAGAGAGAGTCTGGCCTTACGGCAGCGGCTTCTCTCTGGGGGATCTCTACACTCATGGTCCTCCTATGCAGGAATAATAGCGATGAAACCTGTTTCTGGGACTACCGGTGGAAGTTTCAGAAACCGAGCGATCCCAATATGGACCCGAATCAGTAGACCTACCCGTCAGTTTCAGAACCCTCCCACAGCAAGCAGAGGCTAACCCCACACCTCACATTCTATACCCCCCCTACGCTTTTGCCTCAATTCTCGACCCGCCTCCCAAAATCAACCTTCCAAAACACTAAGACACAAAGCACCTCCCAACACAAAAGCAATAATCCCGAAAACAAAGCAACCCACCAATAAATACAACAATCCATAACACAATCCAAAACCCAAAGCACCTAAACAAACCCTACCCTCAACCATAAAATAACCCATATCCTAATATGAGGTGTGGGGTAAGACCCTAATAGAAAATCACCAAAAAATTATAACCCTGAACTCGGAAATGACGCTTGGTGAAGCCTCGCCAGGTTTGCATTGCTCGCGACCCCTACATAGAATAATAATTACTGTGAAGAAAAATGTTATTGTATGTTCCCTTCGTCTTGTTGCTTTTCTCTTCTCATCATATCGACTGTTCTTCCGTCTATAATTTCAACAAATAGTTTTCCATTCCTTACATAAGTCGTCATCATACAGTTTTCAATATGTGGTATATTGTCGGTTAATGTATTCATAACTTCATTTTGTATCGAAGTTAGGTCATTATTGATTTTAATCATTTCCTGTTTGTTTGTATATCCGGATGCTTCTGCCATTAATATATAAGTTCCCAAGTCTTTAAATGTTTTATGTAAAATACAGAATTAAGTGTAGGGGGGGGTATAAGATGTGAGGTGTGGGGTTAGCCCCTGCTTGCTCCCACATGGGCCTTTAGCCGGGTCTGAAGCACCTCGAAGAGGCACCAGGCACCTAAGTCGCCACGGCTGGGCGGACTGGAGGAACACGCGAATGACAATGCTATCACGTATACATAGCATGTGTGTGCATATATACATATATATATATATATATATATGTCTGTGTATGTGTGTCTGTACGCATGTACGTACGAACGTGGGTATGTACGTATGAAAAATGCCGATTCGCATACACCCTAACGCTTAAGCGTGAGTATCATAGGTACAGTACATAAGCTAGAACTTCAGCACAGGTGAGTGTGAGCAGTTAAATATAAACCGGAAAAATTGCACATGCACGTGTGCAGATACAGCGCAGTGTACACAAGTGCGTCGCGGTTGCAGCAACGACTGAACACCATGTACAAGGACATTACTGCAATCATGCACAGCATATGTGACATGCAAACATTCGCCAAAGAGGTTGTCGCTATGCTTGGCACCATGCATGTTATGACCTTCGCATGATTTGCTGCAATGCTTTCGTGCACCAATCGCCGCTGGCAGACTTGCGGACGAATAATTGAAGCAAACCGTTTGAGGGGAGCATGTTTTGGAGTCTTTAGCAAGAGAACGCACGCCACACTTGAAATGCCGTGGGCGCTGAGCCGTTTCGAGCACCCTGCTGAAAGCAACTCCGCATTAATCGCCGTATGAACGACATCTCTAACTCAGCCGCGCACGTGTCAACGGCATGGCATAGTCGTCGACCACCTCGCTTCCATGGACAGCACATCGAAGGCAGCCGACTCAACAAAAGAAGCCGTTCGGCTGAACTGGGGCGAGAGCCATAGCCGTTCCACAGCAGTTGGGGCTTTTAAGCGCCAAATAGAAGGAGGAGGATTCCCAAGAGATTCCCAGCTCTTCTTGGATCCTCCATTGGTTGTTGCTAAAGCTGCAGATCCAGTATGTGATGTCCTCAGGGTGATTCTCTCGATGCAGCAAGCAGAGATACGGGGCAAACGAATGAAGCCGTCGGACTTTCGAGATGCCCTATAGATATGCAAAAACACCTCTCTCTCTCTCTCTCTATATATATATATGTATATATGGGATTGGCTCTTCTCTTATGCGTGTGAGGGGAGCTCCAACGCTGCGCCTGCCAGGCGCAGCCATGCAAACCACAGGCGGCTTCCGCATGCTTGCAGATGGAGCGGACGAAATGCGCGAAGGAGGTCCCCCAGAAGTGGGAACAAAACCAGCCGGTCCTCAGCTCTGTGCTGCAGATGACGGCCAAACTCAGGTGCTAAATGGGGAGTTTCCGAAAATTAAGGATACTGTACCTTGTTTGGGGGGCTCTTAAAATATGGATCCTGCTATTATTTACTATAATGGGGTCCCCCATTTACAGAAGCTCCCCAATAAACGCAAGGTCCAAGTCCTGTACTCTTGCGGACTTGCGACTCGTGCGGGCCCGCCACCTCGGCATAGGAGAGTTGGGCCTCCCTGGTCAGTGGCTTGATGATGTTCGCAACCACGTAGTACAAGGTCCGACTTCGGATAAAGGGCTCGAAAGTGTCGTAGAAGCACCAGAGCTGCCCACCCTTAACGGCACGACTTGGACCCCGAGGGCACTCCTCAAGCTGCAGCGAAACGCAACGACAGGTCCAAGCCCTGCAGGGCTTCGGGGGACATCTTGTAGAAGAGTTCTATGAAAATTCAGGTCCTGGGGAGTCGGCACCGCCTGCTGCAGATCCAGCTTGTGCCGAATCAGCTTCAGCTGCAGAGGCGTGAAGGTCCTCATGGCACGGCGCTCTGGCGCAGCAGGGAAGCTTCTGGAAGGAGCTTGTTAACCCAAGCACCAGAAACCATACTTGATGTTTCAATCCCTGCAGAGTACATTGTAATAAACTCGGAAGCCATAATCCCTAAGCCCTTAAACCCTCAACCTCTGACCCCTAAACCCGTAAACCCCGCGTCCTGTGCCCCCAAAGAGCTGCCAGGCCAGCGCCCACGATGAGGCTCAGGCCGACCTTCGCTACTCGGAGGACCAGCGGTCTTGACAGGATTCCTACGAGGGTACTATAATAAGGGTTCTCCGATACTTGGAGGATCATGGGACTTAGTAGGTAAGGCTACAGGTACAAAGGCTATACGCATGGTTGCCGTGTTTAGAAGCCTAGTCACGAAGTCTCACGATCTCTTGTAAATAGGGCATGACTCATGACCAAACTAACTAGGAATCTGATGAAGAATGACCTGGTTCTATCTCCTCCCGCTGAGTTCTGGGTCCCAGCGATTTACAGGTCCGAGAATTAAGGAGGAGCTTCTCAACCAGATTCCTACGTCACTGCAGTCTGACCCACGAGAAGGCCTTTACAAACCTGAAATTACCCCAGAACTCCTTCAGAGTGCCGTCAGAAGGACAGCCACAGCAAAGAGCTCCAAGAACTTGCGCAAGAAGGCACAGGCTGGAGCGGCGAAGAGCGCGAGCAGAGTGGAGAGGTGGACAAACAGCGGTACTCCCAATGGGCAAACGGCCCAAAGTGTGGAGGGAAAAGTCACCACCAAATGTCCTTGAGAAGTTTCGAGGGCACGCGTTTCGGGATGGCCCTCGGGGCTGAGCAGTAGGAGGTGTTGGCTGGTCACCGCCTGGACCAGAAATCTTGGAGACTCCGTGACCTCCGGCTCAGGGTAGTGAGGCCTCACCTTCTCGGCGATACTGAGAATCGCAGAAGCAGTTGCTGCAGCTGCTGCCGGAAATACCCAACCCTCTGTCTGGCATTCGGCATCTAGCTGAGGATGTCCAGTCCCAAAGATTGTGATCGGGACCTGACGAGATCGCTTCAGCTTCACACGGGAGCTGTCGATGTTGAAGGACGTGGTCGTCTGGCGGCCCGTCTCATCCACCTTGCTAAGTCTGTTACTGTTGCGTTCGAGCCAAAGACCTCCACCTAGGGCTCCAGCTATGTCAAACCAGTAACCGGTATAGTAGTATGGAAAGCTTTCTGTGAAGGAGCAAGCGGCTGTGGCGAAAGCGCTAGGTGAGCGCCAGGACATGCCAGTGCATGGAAGGAGATGATGGCCATGAGTGGTGAGGATCAGGCGCCCTTTGCTCTGCGAGACCTCGAGCTTGACATCTTGGAGGGGAACTGTGTGCCTCAGTACTTTACCCGAAAGGCTGAAAAGCCCAAGGGAGCTAAGGAAGACCAGGACCAGGCCGGCTAGGGCTTGAAAGTCCGTTTCGCAGTTTGAGTAGTCTGGCAATGAGGACCTCGGCCAATACCAAGAGCCACAGTCCTTGCAGGAAGACCTCCCTCGCTTATTCTGCATGTGCCCGGGCTTACAGAACTTGCACATTGAAGCTCCATCTTTCTTGGAGTAGCGGCCAACATCGCACTCTTCACAGCTCCTGGACTCCTCCGGGGCAGCTCGGCCCGTGGGACAAGCATCACACTCGGTGAGACCCGGGGCCTTGGCAAAGCGTCCCGGCAGGCAATTGCGGCACTCCGTCCAGTTGCTCGTGCTTGGCGTGAAGCGCCCCGAGGGGCACTCGAGGCATTCGATGGCTTGAGGGAGCGAGGTGAATCTGCCCGGGGGGCAATCTCTACACTCCGTCCTGGCAGGGCTTGGGGCGTAGCGTCCGGCTGGACAAGAAATGCACCGCGATGTACCTTCTTCACCGGCATACCGCCCCGAATCACACTCCAGGCACTGCCTCATGTTGGCTTGTGGGGTAAAGTATCCAGGCGGGCAGCGACGGCAAGTGCCGCCGGCATCCAGAAAGCTTCCTGCTTCGCAGGTCGCAGCTTCAAAGCAGCCGCTGCTCTGCAAGGACCTGCTATCATCTCCAGTCACTTCGGTCTGCAAAGGTCCCCCTGCAAAGGCCACCTGAAGCCAAAGGTAACCCAAGGCCCCGCGGACTCCATGGCTCGAGCTCGCCATCTCCAGCGGGCTTTGGAGCCGAAAGGCACGAGAAAGTCGCGCTCTCCACGAGAAGACCTCAAGAGGCCCATCTCTCAGGGAAGCCAGCCTTATGCAGCATCGCAGTCGTCGGCTGGCAAAGCCTCATCTCTTGGAGTGGAAAGCCTGCCGCTCGTCGGCACGAAAATAGATCAAGACCACGACAGGAAGGAAACGAGCGGTCTGACTCTCACGCAGTCTACACCCCCTAGGCCCTAGGACCCAAGGCTGGAACTCGAAGGTATGAGCTGAAGGAGTATATAAGACCGCGCCAACCCTTGGCTCTTGCCATGTGGGGAGATGAGCGCAACAGAAACTTGCAAGAGCAACCGGAAGACGCAAACTTTCACCAAAAAGGGGCCTGGTCGTCGAGATCTGCATCGCCTGGGAGCACTCGGGTCCGGAGCCCAAGCTTCGAAGGCCCCCGTCCCCGAAGTCACCAAGGGATCCTTGTCTCAGAGCAGCAACTCGGAAATTCAAGCAGATCTAACAACCCATTAGCGAAACACGCGACAACAGTGATGAGACAGACCCACGATTGCCGCACTGGCTGCTGGATTTCCTGCACAACGATGTACATTCGTTTTTTCTACAGATATACGTACAGACACAGGATTTGTTCGATTGTCGGTGTTTACCTAAGCCGTTTAGCCACAACCCTGGCCCCCAAATCCCTAAACCGCAATCAACGGACAAAATACAGGGGCCTTAATACTTAGAGTAGGGTTTTGGAGTATATTATGCTGTAACTAGAACAAGGAATCCCAAAACAGTTTTGGTGATGACTTCGACTGCAAAAAGATCATGGGAGGTTCTCATACCCTAAACCCTAAACTCTTAAACCCGTCATGGTTCAGGCATCATGTCAACAAATACCTTTAAGCCCTGAACCCCTAAACTCTAAACCCCTAAGATTCTAAGATGACCCTAAACCGTAAAATCTGTGGCCTGCCTCGGCGGCAGGTCCCACGAACTCCCGCACCTGGACCCCACAGGCAAAACAGAGCCTTGTAGGGGCACATACTGTAGGGGCCCAAATAATTACCAAGGTTCGGGGCTTGGGGTTTAGGGATATAGTTATCTATACTGGGGGTTCCTATCATAATTATAGTATAATACACCCCATAACCCTATTCTAATTATCAAGGTCCCTATGCTATATAAAATCAGAAAAGGGTTTCTCTGTTCCGTCAGGAGTTCGATCATGGCCTATTTGGGGATATCTGGTTTGACTCCGGTTTTGGGGGTTATATTCTGTGTTAAGTATATAGGGACTATAACAGGACGCTTACTAAGTGTATCTTATCATATTTAGTTCAAAGTCAGCTTCCTTTCGCCATGCATGATTCCGCAGTGCTGCTGTATTTTGTGATGAACAGCACCCCATTTTCCTGATGACTACGTGTACCTGTCGGCATGACAAAGGCATGTAGCAAAGGGAGCATGTCCAAAAACTGCCTATTCTGCTCCAGCGCAAAGGTCGACATAGCTTCCACTAGCCCAACTTCCGCTCTGCAGTCTGAGAAGTCAGGCTCCCACAACGGATTCCTAATCCAGAGAAGGTAAGCCTCTATAAACCCCGATTAAACATCCATCCTAAAACCCCCCCCAAACCCAGTATACTACACCCTTATCAGATATCAACCCTGATAGAACCCTACACAGCCTACGCTCCCGAACAAGCTGAGCCCCTCAAAACCGACCTCATGGAGCCGGCTGTCCAGCGGAGCTCCGCGGGAGGGGCCTCTAGAAGGTCTGCGGCCGACTGCCGACCGGGGTGACTCCGCAGGTTTCGTAAGCTGCTAAGGGGTTTCTGGCTTCCAGAAGGTTTCAGACGGTGTATAAGCGATTCAGGAGCTTTTGTGAGCGTTCTGATTAAACGGGTCTCTGAGGGCAGGTGGCCGACGATGTCTGGCGGTTAGGATGGACATCACCATGTCTTCACCAGACTGCGATATGCATGCCGATGACTGCCGCAGGAGCAAACTTACGCCCCAGCCGAGCTCACGGCTTTCAAACCCTGGCCTGTCCCTGCACCTCACTGAGTTGATACTAACACTCAGGAGCGAGCAGGGACGGCTGGCCAACAGGAGGGCCACATCATCCGGCTGGGTAACCTCAGCAACTGCGCCCGAGCGGCAGTCTGGAAGCTTGTGTTCCACCATTCAATACCCCTTTCGTCCAGACCTTTCTGTTCCAGTGAAACTTTATAAGTATAGTATAATGTACCCCAAAACCACACGTAATTATTCTAACTATTAACGCCCCTATAGTATAAAGTCTTGCATGGGGTAACCTTGCCTTAAGTCCAACTTCTTTCCGGCGAGGCGCTCGACCATCTGGGACCCGAGGAGGCCCTGACAAGCTTCTTTCAATATGGGAGCCTTAATAATTAGAATAGGGTTTGGAGGCCCATTGTTCTATAACCACAATAAGGAGCTCCCAATTCTGTATAGGTAATTATATAGGGCCCTATCGTGACCAAACCAAGTAGGCCAAGTGCCGAGGTTCCTGGGACCCTCGCTCCCCAAGCTCCAGCCAGGAGAGCCTCGTGAAGCTAAAGCTGGAGGGGCAGGCCGTAAGCGCAGTGCCTGCAAGGGGCCAGAGGCAGAAAATGGAATCATAATCATGGTTATGGCCAGCGACGAGGATGACGATAGTGATGATGATGATGCTGCAGCTGCTGACCATGATAGTGATGTTATGATTCTGTTGAACGGTTCGCAGAGCCCGACCCGGAGTCTGTTGAGCGGATAGTGGCCGTAGGCGGGGAGCACTGACGTGCCGTTCGGGGCCTCTTCAGCAGAGCATCAACCACGGTGCTTCGCCAGCAAATCAACTCCTTTTCTGTCATGATGCCGGGTGGGCGTTTATCAAAACAGGGGCCCCTCAGACTTCAACACCACTTCGAAACATCCAAAATCCGTAGCTCCAAAAGATGGACTTAAGGAGGGCACCCCCTTTTTGATAAACTCTTCAGATGTCTTTCCAGAATCACCTCTGAGCGAAGCTAGTGCCCCGGCAAATATGTTCATTCTAAACAGACAAAAAGCTGAGCAGCATTCCCGATTGGTCCCAGATAGGACAACCTCATGCCCTGTTCCCGTCTCACCGGATTCTTGGAAATGCGTGAAGAGGACCAGCATCACCAGCGTCTATATACAAATGAAACTTCAGCAAAGGGAGAGGGAAACAGAGAGAGAGAGAGAGAGAGAGAGACATTCACATTCACACACACACACATATATATATATATATATGTACATACACAGGTATGCATACATGTACAAACGGCCGAACAAATAAACAAATTAACGAATTTTTACACACAGAGATGAATAAATAAATCGACGAATGAATGAATGAATGAACAGCCAAAGACACACATACATGTGTGTATATATATATATATACTATACACGATGCCACGATGCACATTCGTTGGCGTGTGTATATCTACGAAGAGATATGTACCCGTATGTACGTGCGCATGTATTTATGTAGGTTTGTAAGTAGGTATGTATATGTATATGTACATGTACGTGAATTGTGGTTTTGTTACAAGCATCCCCCATAACAAGGCCCACATATTCAGTCGCTGGTATCTCCACAGAGCCGTATGTACACTCACCAAAGCCCTAAAACGCGCCCTGCTTCATCTAAGTCTATGTATATACATATATATGTACTCTGTATCGAAGAGAGGCTTACTTCGTTTTGGGTAGTTCTCTAACTAGGCTTTCTATGAGGGTGCCGTACTTTTGTTGGGACCAAAAAAAGGACCCTAGCAAAGAGAACTGCCGTTTTACTGTTGTCGTTCGTTTCGGGCTCCACGACTTGATGGCCGGCAAACCCCAATCGCCAAACTTTGACTGAACGCATCGTCATATGTCGGACTTTAAACCAGAGAAGGGTTTGGGGGTATATTATACGACAACCATATTAAGGAACCACTCGGGCCTCTAAGTTTTTACTCTTTCAAAACCTTTGAACTGCTAAATTCGTTTAGTTACTTGCCGGGCACCGGCGATGGCGCATGGGCGTTACATTTTCAAAGCCAGCGTCAGCGGGGACTGCACCCCACTGTCGAACACGACTGTACAGGCTCGCAAGCCAGGAAAATGAACTCGCAGGAAGTTCCTAAGTGTCGACGGTGCAGTCTGTGGTTTCTGATTTGGATGTGATATTTCCGTCTACCCCGACAGACACATGTGCGCAAAGCTCTCGCTTTTGTATCTCTCACAACGGCCTACGAAAAGGCTGAACGCAATCGGCAAAAAGTCGACGCGCCCGTCTACCGAGCCTACTAAGGGCGAGGGCTGTTAGCCGCCGAGAGGCAGCTCTGGAGCGTGGCTGGCTGCCAAAAAAATATGGGATAAGATAGGGCCAAAAATTAAGGCATACTAGAAGCGGCATGAAAACGGGTACTATGAGGGTTGCTATGAATGAGCCAATGCCTGATGACAGTGCTGTGCTCAAGATATCACAACATCACCACACATATGTTCACAGCCAGGCTTTCAAACACAGCCTGCACGCTTGCCACCCACACCAAATTTCGGCAAGGGTATGAAGCTAAGCTTGATCTGTCTCGCGAACAGGGTACCTATAAGGGTCCCAAATGACATGGGCACAGGAAGGTTGCTAGAAGATGAAACTCTCGAACGTCTCAAACTATTCGAACGAGTCTGTGGCATGGCGGCAAGGGGCAGACCTCTAGGCTTTCATGGCCACGCAGGTGGCGGAAGCTCTCAAGACTGCACCACACCTTTGCGCTGTCCACCTCGGTGCCCCAAATATACTGTAATCACTTCGGAGAGTAGCTCAATAGTCAATAGACATAGGATGCAGCCAAACGAGTATTGCCAGCGAATGCATATCCACCTACAAAGAGCAACCATGCGAATTTCCCCAAAGATCCGATCATGCACGACATTTTGCTTCAAAGCCAAGTGGCTGGATCACTCCTCATCAGACTCCTG